TTATAGTGTTTAAGTCACTTTTTACACAGCCTCTTCGGCTTAGATTAAAGCTAATACATTTCGTGGTTTCGTTGTAGTGAAAACCAAGTTAGTTCAATTGATCTTTGATGTCTTAATTCTTTTATGTATGAACTGTGTTTTTAGGGTAAACAATGGTTTATTAATATTAAATAGTAGTACTCCAAGTAATAGGTATACTATATATTAAGTAGATATTAAAATTGAAATTATTTTCTTAAACTGTGTAATTTAAGCGGTTTATTTTGTTGTATAAAATTTAAAAAAAAATGATTTCTAACTGATGCTATGTTTAAGAAACTATTAGTTGACTCTTAAAATTTCTTTCTTTCTATAATTCCTTCAGATCACACCGGGGTTTTATATTATTATTATTATTTTTATATTAGATAAAAATCAAACTACAGTCTAAAACCAGGAGTAAGAAATTACTTTTTTTTAAATATTCTGTGATCCACTCATCGCACTGCACTGTACAACAATATATAGAATGTTGTTAAATACACAGTATATAACGCACATTTTCACATGAACATGGCATTAATGAATTTATTTTATTAACATTTTAAACAGTAAATACTATTTCTATAAAGGAAAAAAAACAATAATAATACAACCTGAAGTCTTAGACTATTACTTAACTAGGTATCATGAGTTAACTGTTAGTCACTTCACTGGTTATTATGAAGAGTTCGATGGATATGCATAAAATGTTTGACCAAGCCGCCAAAGATCTTAGAGATTATTTAGAAGTCACCGTAGACGATTTGAACTAGTACATTTTATCGGTGTGATAAACTTCTTTCGGTTTCGACTAATTAATTCGTAATGTTTTTAGTAATTTTTTGTTTATTGCAAGACTGAAACGTAATATTTAAAAAAATGTATATTTGTTTCACATATTACAAAATAATATTAAGGGATATGCATAGGAATATTAATTACATTTCATGAAAACTTCATGCATACTTTCAATAGGAATAAACGATTGACAATAATTTATAGATTATTTAATTAATTTGTATAACTGCCGAAGGTTTAATAAATATAATACATGTTATAACATTTTTTTAATTTAATTTTTCCATTATACTTTGATTGTAATGCAATATACATATATATTTATATACATATATTAAATTAATATATGACTTTATAAGTTATCTGAAAAAATTACTATTTTTAAACTTGAATAATTTCGAAAGCAATTTTATAAGATAAAGTCTGTATGGAAAGTTGCGGAAATCGGTTAATAGTATTTTCGCTTAATACTAATTAGCGGTTTTACTATTTCTTTTTCCTTCCTTCTTTAGATAGACTATCTTTGGCGTTAGAGGTTTCTGCCTTATAAAAAGTTGCTTTGTACAGGTCATGTGTACAGTGTACTCTCAATAACGCAATAACGTTTTTTTTTTAAACATATATTTGGAATTATAACAGTCAGTTAATAATTATAAAATGGAATTTTATAGTTGTACAGATTTTGTTAATTTATAAAATTTATTTGACAATAGCTATTATAATAAATTGCGAACAACTGTTGCGGCTTTGGATGAGGATTGTTTCGAGTTCTATGGTGGCTGGATTTTCAATTATTCTTAGACAGATAATTCGTTTTATAGTATGAATTTGATTAAATTTCCTTGGAATTCGTTACGGTACGTACGTAACACGGGTTTTATCATTTGCCGCATCGTACTCGAAGCCAACAGAGGCCCAGAGTTCACTTAAGCTCGAGTTGACGGTAGAATCTATCCGATTTTCAATTTGTTGCATTACTTCATGGGGATTCAATATCATATTCATTGTCCGGATTTCTTGCCCAATTTCGGCACTTACATTGCTATTTTTCGGTCTGCAAAATTTATTATAAAACGTACGCAAGCCTCGTAAGGCGGTGTTCATATTGTTTTCGGTAGCATTGATTATTAAGTCGTGGTAAGTTTTGTCGCGTGATGTATCATCGAAAAACAAGGTGCTGTAGAACCTCTTGAACTCTTCCAACGTTTCGGACACGCCATTGTCGTACGTTGTTATTGGGAATTCATCGGTAATACACGAAAGCGTGGCCAGAACGCGCACCGCAATTCGGTCGATATTTTGGATCATTTGCCTAAACTTGGTTATACATACCGCGGTCGTGGCGGGATCTCCAATGACCTTACACTCGAGTACTGCGCCTATAGTGTAACGGTAACATTTGTTTAGAGCGCTGGCATACTGACAGCTGAAAAGCTGATGCGCTTGACGGATTTTACAACCCGCGTTTCTGACGGTGACTAGTGGGTGGCGCCTTTGAATTCTGTAGGTTTCTAGTATATCTTCGGCGGTCACGAGGTAGCGGGTGTTCATCCATGGCACGGCTATCTTGATACCATCGCGTTGCGACATATTCCTCCAACCGGATAAACTGAATACATAATTCAAAGCATCGACATGGTACTGCGATACCGGCTCTACTGTTGCTACTAAACCGGCCATGTGAATCGTTAAAAAAATTTGAAAAATATGACGTCCGGCTTTCATTTTTTATAATATACGACGATCACAACGCTCTTGAAGTACAGGCTTGACTAATACATCCGTTGCAGAAAAATGTACCCCGACGATTTAATAAAAACCGAACAAAGGAAAATTGAGAGATATTAAATTCTTATTGCGGTATGTACAAACTATAGACATCGGTTGAAATTATTTTTGATACTCGTCAATCGGGTTCGCTGCATGTGAATATTTATTCAGATGTTGCTATGAGCTTGAAATGAAAAAAACACAAAAGAAATTGGTGTCTTAAATGAATTTTTTTTTTTTACAAAAAGTAATTTATAGTTTGGTTTTTGGTCGAAAAAAAGTTTTCATTAAAATTATTTTTATTTAGCTATAATATTATCACATAACGTACTAAATACTAATAAAATGTATGCTGCTGTACACCTTTAGTCACATAACTATAGTAAATGTTAAAAATATTTATTTTCTTGCATTTTAGAACCCTGATTTTACATTAATTATAGATGAATTTTTAAATGTAGGATACTCATGTACAAATACATAGGTTTGAAAAAAACAGGTACGTGTAACGTTCTGATGACTTAGGCTCGACTAAATTTGATATTGTAAAATAAAACTCAATTAAAACAAAATCAAAGTTAAGTTATGACTTATGTCTATAAAAAATAATTTTGTTTCAGGACAACAGCTCGTGTTTATATAGTCCCAAAAGACCTAAATTAACTTCAAAATGTTCTTAATAAATTTGTTTTCCCAAGCTCAAACTCAAAGTATTTAATTTTGTCTTTTATTATGTCTTGAACCCAGAAAATACCATTAACTCTTTTTACCCATTATATTTATTTGGCAAAGTTTAAAAACTTAATGTATGAAAACTAAAGTATCTTTCCTGAAAATGTTCACTAAATAAACAGGCGCGTCGTTCTAGGGCTGTGTACATAGTTGTTTTAATACATATATATTCTTTTTAAATTGATTTTTTGTAGGTATTTTTCTACATTCATATAATAAATATCAAGTTTTAGAAAAACAAGTCAATCCAATTACAAAATAATGTAGAAAATTGTCAATTTTGTTTGGCTTTCGTGTGTAATCTTATTGATATAAATTTTCATAATTAAAATTCAAAGACTATAATAAATCAGAAGTTGATAATTTTTCGGAACAAACTTATAGTTTTAAGCTAAAGTCAATAACACCTAGTATGTTTTTTCAGCTGTTGAAGAAGTATTACATTTTTAGATATTCGTACATTGTCAAAAAAAAAAAATGTAGGGATATACACAACACGGATTTTTGTTACTTACCTATGTATTTGATAAAAATATCTTTAAGGCATCTTCAGTTTAACAAATTATTCGCCTTCGTTTTTTAGGTTTTGCACCTATATACCTTGTTATTGTGAAAATGCAATGGTTTGTTAAATAAGCCATAGGTTGATAAATACTAAGAAACAAGAATACTATTATTGGATTTGTACGCATTGTAGATGTTGTATTTTTTTGGAACTCCTATCTTAATTAATTCATAAATATATATATATATATATAAATCCTCAGAAAATTAAAAAAAAAATCAGTTTATATGTCGACACCGACAAAATTAACAGTCATTTGATATTAATTGACATAGTATCTTATAAAATCGTCTAGATCTTCTATCCAAAACGCCACTTAGGTACAGATTTTTTGAAATGGAAAATATATATTGATATATTTAAAGATTATTTGTTTAATATTTTTTTAAAATATAAAATCTTAAAAAAATAAAACAACCGTTTTCTATTAAATTTTAAATTATAATAACTAAATTTTAACTTAAATGTTTCATGTTTTTTTTTTGCTTACAAACATAAATCATAATATATTGTATAATTGTTGAATAAAGCTAATACGTTTCATTGTATTTTTTAAGTAGGTATTGACTAAAAAAATATAATTTTAATGTCCAAATAAAAATAATAATGTAAAAACAGTTAAAATTGTTGGTCATCATAAATGTTTAATAACTTGCATAGCGACGGATAAATTAAAATCATTACTTTAATTTTTACATCAATTTGAACACTTTTGCTCTTAACAAAATACAGTGATTCAGTGAATTCAAAACTGACAATCCAATTTGTATTCGATATCGTGGAAAACAAATTGACCCATTCAATTGCATTTGTATTATGTTTGTTCTTGTTATAATATTTCATTTTTACTAAAAGTCCGACTTTAACAAATCAATTTCAAGTATAAAATATTTATTCATTCGTTTTATTATAGACTTGAAAGACATTTTTAATTAAATAGAAATAACAATTTGTAACTAAAAAGAAATAGTAATTTAGCACTATTTCAGTTTGAATTTTGATAATAACATAAAACGCGCGCAATTCAAACGGGACTATTTTGATAACAGAATAGTTGGCGCGAAAATATTTTGGCCTTATCATTAACGGATAAGATAACTATTGATAACGTCTCCAAGTGTTCATTGTAATTTGAAAATTTTACCTTTAAAAAATTGAATCGCCTACGGTTTATAGAGTTTTCTGTTTTTTTGCTTTGTTAATCCTTAATCGTGTCTAGTTTCTACTATACGGTATGTTATTATTGTGTTGTTTATTTTTGATTGTGATTAGATATTTCCTTAGTCCGTCAATCTCTCAGTTAAGGAATTTAGATGTATTTCCTGCGTACTGATCGATCGGCTGATGTGATGAGGAATCTTAAAACATATTTGTATACCTTGAAATCTTTTCCGGGGACGACTAGATCATTTTATATTATTTTGAACTTAAGAGTGTCCAGTATTCAATTATAAAATAAAATATCACCAAAGAATCACACTTTAGATAAAAACAAATGAAATAAGTTGTTAGGTCGTCTTTTAGATAATGGAGAATTCAAATTTGCTTACAGATTCCTTATCATATCAGTAGATATATTATCGAACAGTGTAGTGTGTACCGTTTGAACCAAAATACGTCTAAATTGCTATAAATATTTTGTTGGATGGACCTAGACAGAATAAATCACTTTCCAATTGGCTTTATTTTGAAATTTATTACAAAGCATAATATATTATATTTGTAGACAAACACAACTGTTCAACATGTTTCCAAAGTACTCTCCACATAACATACCAATCAAAACTTTGAGCATTATGTATGAACATTTTCGAATCTTGTACGGGTTCTTCCAGTAAGTTATGTTTTATGACATAAATAAAAGCGAATTTCTAAAATCATTTTATTTGTTAAGTGTGTTTAAGACTTTTTTTTAAAAAAAATTAAAGAGTAATACAATATTTTGTAAAATTGTTATAGTGTATTAGGTACTGGTTTTTTTCAAAGTTCTAGTATACAACATTGACACTAAAAAATTACCCTAAATGTGTTGAAACTCTATTTTTTTGTAAACATTATTAATAATTTAATGTATTTTTAAACGAGTAATACCCAATTACAAATATGAAAGAATAGATAAAGTGTACATAAACACAGAATTAACACAAAAATAAAAGTATACAGCTGACAAATAAAATGGATTTCAACAACACAAAATAATAGATAAAGATAAACAATATTTACACAATTAGATTATTTAAATAAATAACAAAAGCTTCTATCAAATTTTTAACAAATAAATCAATATTATTTTTATTTACTAGTCGCATTATGCGATTAAATAGGGCATCACGATAATTTTGTTAGTACATTTCTAGTACATTTTTGCCCTGTTTTTAATGTATGTTTTTATTAGCTGTTTCGGGTTCCTAATGTTGATGAACAACCAATAATTATCGAAAATAAATACATTGGTGAAAAAAATTAACTTGTCAATATCTAATAGTCATCAACGAAGTACACAAATTTCATTTTATTATGTGTAATTTTTAATATATTCATTTAATTAATGTTTATGTCTTAGCCATTATAATAACATTATGTTTTTTATTATAATATATTAATTAATAATGAAAATACATTTTTTACAGAGAGCAAACCTTATGCGATGTCACGCTGATATGTGATGATGGCGTTCAAATTTTAGCTCATAAAGCAATTTTAGCATCTGCAAGCCCTATGCTGTTAGCAATGTTCAATGGTGGCTTTAAGGAGACTAAAGAAATTAGTATGCCTATTAAAGATATTGAGTCTGGTATATTGACGTCAATTGTAACTTGTGCATATACATTTCAGATGGATATCCAGGAAAATAATATAGAAGTAATATAATGTACAAAACAGATACCAAATTATTTTCATTGAACACATTTATTGTTATAATATTAAATTTAATTTGTATTTTAGAAACTATTGAGAGCTTCTGAATACTTTCAATTTAACTATGCTAAGGATTTATGTTACGATTATGTTAAAAAAAACATAAACGTCAATAATTGTATTAATTTTATGAGCTTTTCTGAACCTACATCACAAAAAGGGCTATACACTTATTGTTTCTTGTATTGTTTAGAACATTTTAAGTAAGTAGTAAAGATTGGAATTCGTTTGAGAACATTTTAATATGTACTACATTTTTGATTCCTAGAACAATTCTGGAAAATGAATCGCAAGTAATAGAATTATATGAATTAAATTTTGAAGATATTACTAAGCTCATATCAAATGATCATTTGGTGGTTGAATTTGAAGAAAAGGTACTTTGGCAAAATAAAAAAATACAATTACTTTGATTATTTTGAATTGCATTTATGAGATATTAATACTCCCAACTGAAAATTTAGTATCTAAAGTTTTCTAAAATGTTGAAAAAGTCAGAAAAATCTGTAAATTAGATAAAAGTTGTTAAGGGGTACAGATACACAAAGTTTATTAGACCAACTTTTTTAATAATTTTTTAACTACAAGTATAAAGAAATGAGATCATTATTTTTAGTTCACATTACTCTATTTAATATACATTTGTCTCATTTTATTACCCTCACTTGTTTTTTTACAAAGATTTTATTTAATAACGATTTATTTAAAAAATTGTGTATGATTTTACACATATGTTAATATTTGTTTTAGATAATTGATTTCATTTTTGAATGGATAAAATATGATTTAGAGGAACGAAGTAAATATTTATCAAATTTACTTAATTATTTGAGGTTACCTTTAATTTCGAAAAAAGCAATACTACGAATATGTGATGAACCATTGATGAGAAGCCAACTTGAATGTGTGTATTTAAACCTGATGCCTTTCCCACTATTATATATAAATTATAACATATAAATACTGAATCTATTTACAATTCACATTTCAAATTATTTTCATATTACATATTAGTGTCCCATAATGGTTTTTTATATTAGCTTAATATTTCTAGGTTCGTTGGATATCATGAAAAATTATTTATCTGTCGATGTTGATGAAAATATTACAAAAGCAACAATGAGGACACCTCATTTGTATAATCCAAATGTATATAAATATTTTTCTTACAACTTATTTGTGGCATCCTACTTAGTAAAAATACTTTATGATAATCAATGTTACGTTTTTTTTAATATTGTAGAAGTACATATATTATGAAATCAAACAAATATTTCAATAATTTTTTCCATATATTTTGATTATTTTATAATCTAAGGAAATATATTTACGATATTATAAAATGTTACTATTTTTGCCAAACATATTTTTGCTATGTAGATATCTACATGTAGAATACTTTTTACATTTGTAGAAAATGAAATATGTAATACATTTTTTTCAGTTTATTTTTGCTATTAAAGGTCAATCCAATTGTGATGATTCTTATGTAATGTTTATGGATCTGAGGCGGGAAAATGATCTTAATTGGAAATCATGTGATTATTCATTTTTTTGTCCACCCCATCGAGATGCAACTTTGGTCGTTTCGGAAACTGGAATACTACTTGCAATTGGAGGATATAATGAATTAGGAAAATGGAATAATTGTGTTGATGAACTAGACCTTACTTCTACTACAAAAATGTGGATACCTACAACGCCTTTGCGAAGATTACGATATTATTTTTCTGTTTGCACCCAAGGAAAATATATATATGTGGTGTGTATCAATTTATATTATTTGGAAAACAATATATCTGAGTCCAAAATACATGTAACATATTGAAAATATATATTTAATATGCGTCTTTTTACTCTCTATTCCGCATAGGTAGGAGGTGAAGATACTTTTGGAGAAACATTAGATTCAATAGAATGTTATGATACATATTCGAAAGTATGGGCCGAAATAGAAGAGCCAATGCCAAACGGTCGGAACTTATGCAGTTCAATAATTCACAACTCTCGTTTATATGTTGTAAGCATGAAATTGTATTTAACTTATTATATACATGTATAGAAATTAGTAGATTAATCTATAGGTTTTAGTAAGTGACAATTTGAATAGGCTTATGGTTTTGTATACATTATTTATGTTATATTAACATGTAGCGCAGTGTTTTACTTAGGTGACATATGAAATCTGAAAAACTTATTATATACATGTATAGAAATTAGTAGATTAATCTATAGGTTTAAGAAAGGTGCCCCTAATATAGGTTTTTGAGGTGCCCCTAATGTGGGGTATCCTCCTCATGTTAATCATGTGTATAGTTAATTGTAAATAGTTTATAAAAATGCTCATTGTAAAATATAATTTACAGATTGTATGTTTTTCAATAAAAGTAAAAAAAAAAAAATAGGTTTAAGAAAGTGACAATTTTAATAGGTTTACTGTTTTGTATACATAATTTATGTTATATTGGCATGTAGTGGCGCAGTGTTTTACTTAGGTTACATGAAATCTGATGTTAGGCTAAATTGATCTTATATTTATAAAATAAACTAAACACGAGGTGTTAAATCGTCCCCAATAGTACCAGTATCCTATTTACCGAAATAAAACTATCCAACAACCTAACAAGCTAATAACCATGACAAAAAAACCTAGTGTAGTTTAAATGTTGTATATTTCATGTAGTTGACTTTTTATTCTATGACGTTTTGTAGACTTGTAGATATAGATGTACTATTAAGTAGTATAGAGTGCCATAATATGCACAAAAAACGGTGGTGTTAAATGCGATATGAGCAGCTACTGCTTTATTAGACATAACAAGCGGAGGAAATGATTTATATTTATTTCAATTTGTGCAAGTGTAGAACATTATTGATGTCTATTAATGGACGTGTTTTCTGCTACACAAATAAAACTTTATCCATCAAACCAATAACAAAAGCTGCCAAACCTAAAGAAATAATTGTAATTGATTTTACGTTTTATATTTAATGTAGTTCATTTTTTTTTCTATGAAGTTTGGTGGATATGATAATAGTGGTGGTGACAACTTTTTTAGTAGTGTAGACTGCTATGATCTACTAAAACGATGTTGGATACAGTGTCATCCTATGCCTACAGCTACTGCTGTTGTAGGATGGGTAACGATGGGCATTTCAGATAGAGAAAATGATATTTATTTATTTGGCAGTTATAAAAAACTCAAAGGCGCTTACAAAATGAACATAAATGATTCAAAATGGGATACCCTACCTGATATGATCAACCGAAAAAGGTTTGCAAGTGAGTAATTAATCATAATTTTGTTTGAGAAATATCATCCGAGTATGATTTGTATCATGTTCGGGTATATCCATGTTGTCGTGTCATTGGCTGTCTGACCTTTCAAACCTATTTCGTATTTAGAGCGATTGTCAATATTTCACTCTTGTGACTATACTGTAGTACTGTGGCTATCGCTTTAACACAGCAATTGGTTAAAAAAGTCAGTATAAATAATGACAACATGAAAAGTTCCGAAAATTATGAAACTAATATTTTATACTATGAAAGATTTACCTCGTGCATATGATATATTTATAATACTTTATTTTAAAATGCAGATGCCGTTACTATTGAAAACGATTTATTTGTTGTCGGGAAAAATACCGTATGGTGGCTCACAAAAAATGATGAAGAACCCGAGGGAGTCTTTTGCGAAAGATATATTGCTGAAAAAAACATATGGCAAGAGATTGTGTCATCAAATATATTAAGTGATTATGATCATATAATTTGTCTTAATGATGCGAAATTGAAAACATTTAATATTGACATATCATAAAAATTTTAATATTATATACTATGAAATTATAAAAATATTTTTTTAAAAGATAATCAAAACTGAGTAATACTAAGCAGTGAATATAAATATATAATTGTTACACATTATACAAGTTTAATTTGTTTTTTGCTCCAAACACAAAGATAAAAAGAAACATCATTATAAAATTATATAACTGATTTTGATGGATTAAATTCTCAGTTGGCATTAAGGCTAAACAATGTTCAATAGGACAATATATTTTTTACTTTGGTCCAAAGATAAATACTTTGTGTCTTATAGATCATAAAAAATTGACTTATGAAAGTTTAAATTTATTTTCTCACTGTCTTAAGGTTTGCATCAAAGTGTTTGAAATTAAAATTTTTTTTAAATGTAATAAATATGTTGTGTCGTACTCGGAATAGTACTGTTGCTATGACTTTAGGTGACATACAATTAATAGCTCTGGTAGGTACAATTCGCCTTCTATTTTTTTTTTAATTTTAAAATACCTAATTTGTAATTATGAGAAATCATAATTACCCACTACTTAAAAAAAACCTTTTTTTTTCATATGTCCTTTTTTTAATTATCAAAAAATGATAATTAAAATCGCTTTTAGAAGTATGCAACGTTCAGTCCTAAGGTTATTGCTATTTTTTACCAATTTTTAAGAATATAAAAATTTTAAATATTAAAATGTTTAAGATTATATTTTTTTAATTACCCTCATTTGCCCTTGGCATCACTGACCATTTGCTAAAAATATATATTAAGATAATTTGTGTATACTATTTTAAGATATTGTGTATATAAGAAAAGAAAAAGAAAAAATATAATAACACAAAATTAGTATTTTAATAAATTATATTAAGCTATAAAATTTATAAATAGTAAATTTGACATTTGAATGATTACTTTAAAAGTTGTTTTAGCAAATTCCAAAATAAGGACGTTTCTAATTATGCAATTTGACTTATCTAAATGCTCATTCGAAAATTCTAATTATTCGTTAATTGAATGATGTACATTAAAAGTATTAAAAAGTGAAAAAGATGTGATGAAGCACGCTGTTCATTCGTGTAGCTAAATTGCCTTCACTTGACGCCTTTTTCTAAACAAGTGCGTTTATTGTCGACTGCAAATAAAATAACTTTGGAATCGCACACTTTAAGGTAGATTCAATGTCGAGATTAAAATAGAGACCACGGGTATATCTGAGTACTAAGAACTAAAAAACAAACCTGAGTCGGGTATTTGAAACATCACATGTTTGGAAAAACAAAAACAGAAAAACTCATTTGACAAAAAAAAAATGATTCATTTTGAATTTAATTGATAACGAAAAACATTCAACAAAAAATTAAACATACACTTAAAATGGTACATTTTTTTGTAACGAAAAATCTTTAATAAACTAGTTTTACTACTATTGTTTCGAAAATAATTGTGGACTTATTGAATATTATGATCAAATAACTATATATTAGTTTTGTACTAGATTACGCAGCAGGCAGCAGCCCACAAAATTAAACAAAAGTTAAAGACCAGTCACCAATTATTTTGAAAAATGACAAATTCCAAAAATGTTACGCCTTGGTTACCGAAATACAAAAAGTATACATGACGTACCTAGCCAATGTGTTAATCATACAGCGTGCTTATTGTTAAACGACCCCTGACGACCGTTGTTATGAACAAATTCAAATTTCTAATACTTTCGAATAGCAACCAAAATAATTGTGAAAATTGTGAAATTCCAAAAATGTTACGCCGTGACAACCAAAATATAAAATATAGGCATTTATTAAAAAACAAATTTTGAGCAACCGACGTTTAATTTTGAAAAATTGAATCAATTTTTAAAAAATGTAATCATATAATATGCTTACACTTGTAGTGTACTTGGTCAAAAATGCTATATAGTCCCTAGGAAACTATACATTTTAAATTTCAAAAATCAGTTTTTAAAATTTCCTTTATTCATTTATCGCATGGTCGTATGATGTAACTTATAGTATTTGGTAAAATAATTGTATCTTATAAACTTTGCCATGACTCTTAATAACCAAAATTCAAAATCGATTCATTAATACATTGTTTAACAATCAACATATTTTATCGCGCACAATATTAAAATAATAGTTATATATAGTACATTAGTATTTGTATTGTACAATTTTATTTTATTTTTTGTGCTGTGAAAACTAAATTGTATGCAGTGTGCTACATCATATTATATTTTTTAAAAAAAGAATATTGTGTTTAAATCAGTGAAATAAACTCGCTTTCTTCGCCAACGACCATACCACGTTGAATACACCAGTTCTCGTCCGATCACTGAAGTTAAGCAACGTCGGGCGTAGTTAGTACTTGGATGGGTGACCGCTTGGGAACACTACGTGCCGTTGGCATATTTTTTTTGCTTTTTACAACTGTACACTATTTTTTTGTAGTGTTGTATGAACTTAAATTGTACGTCCACAGGCGGATAGGCTTAATTTATTTTTATCGGGAAAATATATGAAAACAGCCGAACTCGCGGGAGACAACGCTCTGCAAACCCTCAACAGGCACAAAATGTGTTATTAGGTATACCTGTGAGTGAAAATCCCTCACAGAACTGCATTTAAGTTAATCAAATTGACTAGGTATTGTAAAATCAATACCTTTTTTGTTTCTTAATTAATATAAATAATAATAATAATAATACATTTTTTTCGGTTTTGTATCTTATACCATTGTACTCTTTCAAGTTTTACTCATAACCCTCACACACAATAGTCATTTAACCAATACATAGGTTCTCGCCAAAAGTTATGTATGACGACGAGGACTGGTCATTATTTTGATGGCATCTTATATGTTATTATTCGTGTAAAGTAGACGCGCTACTTCGTAAGACATTATAGTTTCGTTTTTGGGCTGAGGTGCCAAGGCTAACGCATGGTACATGCTAAAGTTCACTAACATCATGTTATTCTGTGCCTGTCAAAATGATGTTTGTATTTAACTAAGGCCATCTGTAAAAATGCGTAGCTTTTTCGTTACCCATAAAACAAATTGAAGAGTCATACTGCAACGAAAGCATTGAAATTCAGCACAGTGTTGTATCTGACTTCCACTTTTCTAGTTGTTCTTTATTGTCAAGATATTTCACAGTGAATAAACAAAAAAAATGATGTGGAAAATTATATTACTGTTGCCGTGTTTTGACGTTTTAGTGAACGCTGGTCTACTTTCACCATATTTTACGGGTTCTTCAAGCCAGGTAAATATAATCGAGTAATGTCTTTTAATTTATTTTTTAGTAGGTAAAAAATACATTTTACGTTTTTCAAAACTCCACAAAATGTGTTGAGTTCTTAGGATAAAAAATTTTATCATACTATACATTTTTTTTTAAATTCAAAGGGTGAAGAAGTGACCTTTTTTAACTTATACCCAGTGGCGGCTCGTGCCATGGAGCACTTGAGCAATGCACCACCTATTATTTAAAGAATATTAATTATTTTACAGAAATATAATACATAATAACATAATATTCTATAGTTGTACTATTCTAAAAAATAGTAAAAAAATTTAAAAAAATTTACTACAATAACAATTTAAATTTTTTTACAATTTTAAATAATATTTTATTGTAACATCGTTAATTTTTTACTAAAAAGAAAAGCGTGGGCCCTATTCAATAAATTCCCAAATAAATTTATCAGATAAATTTCATGCAATGTTTTATGTTAATTATTTTTTGTAATTTAAATTTGGTTCAATATTAGTGTGGGACGTTTCATAATACTTAACTCAATGAAATTGGACTTTGTTGAATAGGGCCCACGCTTTTCTTTTTAGTAAAAAATTAAAGATGTTTAACAATAGGTATTAAACATTTTAGTTAATTTTCAGTTGTTTTGAGTAAATTACATTTTTTTTTTAAATGTGCTACAATTAATTGGTAAATTGATCTTGCAGTAAAATTATTTTTTACTTTTTAGTTCACTTTTTTACAATTTTTTTTAGAAAAGCATGTTTTTGAAAAAGTTTTTTTATTTATTTATTTATTTTATTTTTACTTTATAGTCCTATTAAAGGTAGGTACTTAATAATTGCTGAATAGATTACCAAATTAATTTTGGAAGATTTGAAAAAAAAATTTAATTTTATTGAAATGACCCCATTTCAGTTGTAATAATTCATATTGACCTCTGACCCCCCCCCCCCTTAATATGATCGGCCGCCCACATGCACCAACCCCACTGTAATGGCTTTTTTTTTGTTACAGTCGAGCGATTGTCAACCTGTGGAACAAACAGTAATTGTTTTTATTTTATTTTTTTACTACATAATAAAAAAAATAGTAGGTACTAGATTCACATATTGTAAACTTACACTGAATAACATTTCAAAGATATGCTCACATATATTATTTTAAAATTATTACACACTTATAACTTTCTTCTTATTCAGCTTAACAGTCCACGAAGGACTTGAGCTGCCACAAGCAAGCCTCTCCACCGTTCGGTGTTTAATGCTAACTCAACAGACGCATTCAGATCCACCGTCTGAATGTCCTCCTCCACAGCATGAACATATGTTCTTCTCTCCTGGAAAGCACCATAAATTTTGTTTTTTCTTCGTTAATACATAGTCCCGCCCTTTTACTGGCTGCCAAAAGGTTAGACATTATCTGGGTAACATCTTGTCTGGAATTTCCTAAAATGACAACATCATCTGCACACGTCAATATCATTTCTTTATTCGCCACCTCCGCTTGATGACTATGATATATTTCTCTTATCACCTTTTCAAGCACTAAATTAAATAGGGTTCGGGATAAGGCATCTCCCGGAAATTTCACTTTAAATTATATTTTGTTATTGCACAGTTTTACCATATTAATGTATTTTTTCGGTAGATCATAAATAGGTAGATATATTTTCCCGGAGTAGATCATAGTGTAGTGTCATACGCCTGTTTATAGTCGACGAATACCATGTATAGGTCGTTGTCGAATTCGTAATGTTTCTCCATTACTTGTCTGAGAATAAGTATTTGATCCGTTTAGTGACCTTTCTTTTCGAAAGCCACATTAGTACCGTCCTATAATCTCTTCACCGTATGGAGTTATCCTCTCTAAAAGAATTGTAGATAATATTTAGTAACATTTGTCTAATATAAAAATTGCTTTATAGTTTTTTGTATCCAGTACGTCCCATTTTAAACACGGGGATTACATATCGACGTATTCCGTTCTTCTGGTATCATTTATTTTTCCTAATAAGATTGATCATTTCCCACATTTCGATTTTCTATGCTTCTCCACTATTCTTCAATAATTCTGCTTTCTCCTGGAGCCTTATTATTCAGCCGTACAATATTGCATGCAGGTCTCATCAGATGGCCTGGAAGCTGTTTTATTAAACAACATTTTATAGTAGTTTAACTCTTCTGCTACTTCCTTATCATTTGCTACTAATTTTCCTGTCTAACTTCTTAACATTCTAGTTTGTTGTTTATATCCTTGTTTGATATCTCTACTATTGCTAAAGAATTGTTTGGAATTGTATCTGTTATTATCAATTTCTGCAATCATTCTCTTTTCTCTCCTGAGAGTTTTGTGATTATTATTTTGCTCGCTGTGTATCGTTCTAAATTTATATTAGTCGGGTTTTTTTAATGCTATTTCTCTTAGTTTATTTTTTATGTCTACGGTTTCTTAATATTTCATCAAACCAGTTTTTCTTTTTATTATTTTTCCTAATTCCTAGGCAATTCTTTGCACTATTTATCACTGTCGTTTTTATCTTATTCCATATGTGCTCTACATTCTCATCATTATCTAGTCTAACCTCCTCCTTTCCTATTTTTGCATGGAATTCTCCTAAAACTTTTTTAATGCAATGATTAAATGTTATATCACATATTCTGTCTAGTTCTTCATAGAAGTTTTCTTTGATATCATCTCCCTTGTCTTCGGTTGGAGTGAAACTGTTTATAATAATTAGATTAAATATGCGTCCCGTTATATGTATGTAACACATACGCTTATTTATTGCCTGAAAAGTTTTAACATATTATGGTGAGCCCCTGAGGGGCTTAACTTTTAACTTTACTAAATGTTTAATTGAAAATCCACAGGCTGATTTTTTTTCATCGGCCACTCAATATCTCATAGGGTTAAATAAGAAATTAAAATGTTTATTCGTGTAGTTTTTATACAATGTGATCGAAATTTTTCACAATTTTTTTGTTTTTACCCCCCTTTCAACTTAGTTTTTTTGATAGCAACTTTTGAAACTTATATGGTAACGCAAATATTTCATTAACTTTTTAAAATTAGAATAATGCACTAAAAATGTATAAGTTATATGGGTTTAAAAGTTTTTATGGAAGGGGAAGTGCGGTTGGAAAATTAATGAGTGCAGATAAAAATAATACTGCAAACCACCTTTCCTCCTGCCCTAAACTTGAAGCTGGTTATCGACCAGTCAAAATGTTTAGTACATTATTCTAAATTTTATCAGTCAATGAAACATACATATACGTTACCATTTAAAAAAAGTTGTTGTCAAGAAAACTAAGTTGGAAATGGGGTAAAAACAAAAAAAGTTAAGTAAAATTGTGATAACATCGTATAAAAACAATATGAAAAAATAACATTTTCATTCCTTATGAATCCAATGAGATATTGAGTGGTCCATTATAAAAACAATCACCCTGTATACGTGTATTATTGTTATAATAAATAAAATTCTCTTATGAATTGTACCAGGACCCATACCCCAATTTTGTAAATTGGGTAATTTCACTACACAGTACCGGTGCAAATTGGACATCTTTGGATCGTGAACTTGACGTTGAGAAAATAGTAATTTTTATATAAAATACCACATTATTCAAAAACATGTTTAACCGTTTTTATTTTTTAAGAATAACGCAAGGGAGAAATTGAAGTTAAGTAGGTGTCCACCTGGTGATGTGGAAAGTCTTATTACGAACAGTAATTGGGATAACTGGCCTACTGAATTAAGATCACCTCAGGAACCTTTCATTAACGAAAGTTATATGAATGGATTGACATTAAGAAGCATTCCAGAACTATCAGCAGTAGTCGCGACGGTTTCTGACAACCTAGGCAAAGGGCTGAAATGGCCAGGAATTTTATTCTTTTTCAAGCATACTACGCTTATTTAAAACTTTTATTTGTTTGTTGAATTAAATAAAATAAGTGTGTTATATTGATCTAGACATTGATTTAATAACGCCATAATATTCCTTCCTCTATTTTGTTTATACTCCTCAGTGTTTAGAATGTTCTAAATTACTTTTTTTTTTTAAATGTGGTGATTTATTTGCTCTTATCGTTCAGATCTCAAAAAGTATACGTCACAAATAATATTTACCTTTACAAATTGGTAAAAGTGGTTATTTCTTATTGACGTGCGATACAAATCTATAGAACCAATTAGTGTCAACAGCACCCTGGTGGTACGAGGAATAAAACAGGATATTAAACACAAAAAAACAAAGCACTAAAAACAAAAACGTAAATTACAATCTTAAATTAACAAAACTCAAGGCGAAAAAAATGAAGTCTGTCTCATTTTTGTCTTAAGTTGCCAACATTTCCCCACTGTCACTTTTTGATATAAAAACAATATTTTTATCACAAGATTGATTTAACATCGCATACATAAATCCTCGAACATTAAATTTCTTAGGATATTTTTTCTTATTATTTAGTAAAATTGTACTTGACATGGCACCATTGCATCAGCCCCTAACCTAACCTAGCCGGTTGTTTTTTAAATTGTTCTCAATTGGCAATGTAAAATATAAACAGATATTTTATCGAGCGTTTCAATTGAAAATCTATTTCTATTGATTTATAAATCAATTGTAAATTTTTGTTACCGGGAAAATATATGAAAACGGCTCTGAGCTACTTATAAGTACATACTTTTTTTATTATTACTATCATCCACTTTTAGTACATATTTTTTTGTTAAAATGTTTTTGGTTGAATCTTTAAAAATGTATTTCATGTTAAAATACTTAATATAATTGAAGGTTGTATTATTATTGTTTTTTTTTCCTATACAGAAATAGTATTTACTGTTTAAAATGTTAATAAAATAAATTCATTAATGCCATGTTCATGTGAAAATGTGCGTTATATACTGTGTATTTAACAATATTCTATCTATTGTTGTACAGTGCAGTGCGATGAGTGGATCACAGAATATTTAGAAAAAAGTAATTTCTTACTCCTGGTTTTAGACTGTAGTTTGATTTTTATCTAATATAAAAATAATAATAATAATATAAAACCCCGGTGTGATCTGAAGGAATTATAGAAAGAAAGAAATTTTAAGAGTCAACTAATAGTTTCTTAAACATAGCATCAGTTAGAAATCATTTTTTTTAAAATTTTATACAACAAAATAAACCGCTTCAATTACACAGTTTAAGAAAATAATATAACTGACTAATAACTGAATTGGATAAATATAACTCAACCATACATATCCACACAGAAGAAAAATGTACATATTTTTGCCCCAGTCGTTTTTCTCCAGACAACAGAAAACAATCTATAAAAACTTTTATCTACAGTAATAATCACAGGGCAAGAATAACTATATTGTTGTTTACCAATATTGTACTCTAAATTGTGTAGGTATCATTTGAAAAAAAATTAAAACTATAAAGCTTAGAAAAAAGTTTTAAAACCTTATTTCATACTTTTTGAACTTTATGGAATGGCGGAATGAGCAATTATCATGCAATTGTAACATCTACTACTAGATAATATGTTTAAATATATTCCAATAAAAAAAAATTTAAGAAGGATATAGACAAATTAAAAACAACAATACCCAACTGCGTTATTCTTTGAATTATTATTATTTAACATAACATTTATACAAATGTAGGTATGTTTATATTTTATAAATAATGTGTTCAATTATATTAAGTATTTTAACATGAAATACATTTTTAAAGATTCAACCAAAAAAATTTTAACAAAAAAATATGTACTAAAAGTGGATGATAGTAATAACAGTAGCTTAGAGCTCGCTTTTCATATATTTTCCAGTAACAAAAATTTAGCTTATCCGCCTGTGGACGTACAATTTAAGTTCATACAACACAACAAAAAAATGGTGTACAGTAATAAAAGCAAAAAGTATGCCAACGGCACGTAGTGTTCCCAAGCGGTCACCCATCCAAGTACTAACTACGCCCGACGTTGCTTAACTTCAGTGATCGGACGAGAACTGGTGTATTCAACGTGGTATGGTCGTTGGCGGAGAAGCGAGTTTATTTTACTTATTTAAACACAATATTCTTTTTTTTAATAATATAATATGATGTAACACATGCATAAAATTAGTTAAACAGCACAAAAATTAAATACAAACTAAATTCCATTATTTTATTATTGTGCACGTTTAAAATATGTTTATACATGTACTTGTCGATAAATGGGCAGCCTGATATGTTGATGGTTGAACAATGTATAACAAAAGGATTTTGGTTATTAAGAGCCATGGCAATGTTTGTAAGATTCAATTATTTAGCAAATACCAAGTTACATCATACAACCACGCGATGAATGAATAAAGGAAATTTTAAAAACTGAATTTTGAAATTTAAAATGTTTGGTTCCCTAAGGAGTATTTAGCATTTTTGACCAAGTGTAGCAATATGAAGTAATGACAATATTTTATAAAAACTGATTGAATTTAGTAATAATAAATGTCGGTTGCTAAGGATTTGTTTTTTAATAAATACTTCATATGTATATTTTATATTTTGTTGACCATGGTGTATAATATTTGGAATTTGACATTTTTCAAAATAACTGGTCTTTGATTGTTGTTTAATTTTTGGGCTACTGCGGCTTAAGCAGGTGGTGACGATCATTTTGAAACCAAACGACTGCTGTTTTTTAAATTAGTTACTATACAGTAGTCGAGGACAAATTAATATATTGTAATTTGAACATAAAATTAAACAAGTCCACAACTATTTTCGAAATTTAATGAATTGTTATTCTTCAAAAACTATGATTGTATTGTACACATGTAATTTCGAAAAATATTATGGATCTGACTTATTCAAAATAATTTTGAGTCGTCCATCGTGATTATGAACAAGTCAAAATAATTTTGGGTCTTCCCCGAGAAGGATTTTGACTTTTCCATATTAATTTTGAGAATTCCAAAAAAATTTTGGAATTTTTTCTACCCAATTTTGATTTTTCCAAAATTATTTTGGTTTTTCAAAAATTAAGTCAAACAAATTTAGTATTATTTTAATGTGCTTTTAAGACGTTTATTTGGGCCGTTCCCGGTGGTACTGCAATACCGGGTCAACCCGCGGTGGAGTAGGAGCAAGCCCCAAATTCTCCACCAATTTGAAAAAATTAGTTTAACATTTGAACCCCACGATGTGAGGTGTATCAGATGTTAAGCTGATAAGAACAGATACTACACTTTGATCTTAGCCGATAGGCCGAGAAGCGATACTTTCACACACCAACTACATTCTATTTATCAAAAAACAAACGCACAAACAAAACGCAGAACGATAATTTTGGAAAACTCGAAAAAATTGTCAAAAACGCTCGAAATATGCACGAAAACGTGCTAAAAGTTGCTCTAATTTCTTGTAAATGTCAATTACAATTTAAATAATATGTTTCAAAAAGATTTCGTAAAGATTTTGGATCGAATTTTTGAAAAAAACCTGCCAAAATTTCACAAACTCAAAAAAAAATCAGCGTCAGCGGTATCTACCGGCAGCCGCAGGCAATGCGGTCCGCGCATTTGTGTATAGCCGCCTTCTCTACTGCTTTACTGTACATCCGTTAGATAGCACTACTGTTATGCTTGCAGTGATATAATATTTATTTTCAAAATTTGGGAAAATTCAAAATCCAAAATTATTTTACAAAAGTCAAAATCCTACATTAGGTTTTTTGGGAAATTCAAATTTCAAAATTATTTTGGCCGTTAAAATTCATCTTATAGCGTTTTGGAAAACTTAAAATCAATATTAATAAAGCAAATTCAATAAAACTCTAACCTCTAGTATTTAAAAAAACTCAAAATCCAAAACTATTTTGAATTTTTAAAAATTTTCCGGTAAAACCGAAATTATCATAAAAATTCAATATTACTATTTTTTTGTATTTTGGATAATTCAAAATCAAAAATTATTTTGCAATCGTCAAAATCCTCTATTGTATTTTGAGATAGTCAAATTCCAAAGTTTTTATCTAATAGTATTTTTAAATTCAAAATCAAAATTATTATGGAAAATACAAAAACCTCTAGTATTTTGGACAAGTTAAAATCTACAATCATTTAAATTCTGTTTGCTATAGTAACCAAATTTAAAATAATGGCTATGGTTTATTTTTAAAACTTTTGCCATCAAGTAGCAGCAGCCTAATATTGAAAAGACAGATCACAAGTTTTCGATCAATAACAAACGGGAATTATGGCCTCTAAAAATATTAATAATTCTTATGTAACTGTTAAAAAAAAAATACATATATATTTGCTTATTATTCTGTACATAACCATTGGCAGTTAAAGTAGTTGGATTTTCTTAAAAACGGTAGCAACCAAAACTAGTCGTTAAAATAATTGTGTGCTAGTGTAAAACTGAAAAAATAACATTTATAATATACATGCTTATTGTCATATGTTGCTAAAACTTTTATTTCTATAAGTTATACCCATTTTTTTTAAAAATTATTATGAACATTTATAGGCATAATAATATTATATAGATACATCATTTTCTCCAAAAGCTTATAGCACTATTACTGATAGCAACATACATGATACAGGTCTGAGTAATGAAGCCTGCATACTGTCCCATCGGCCGGACAAAATATCTACCAATTTTAAATTAATATGAACTATAATTGAACATTTGTTTCGTTTTAACAATTTTTTATAACTAATTCTTTTTATATTTTATAAGATAAAGAAAACAACAATTTTGATTGAGAAATTCACATGTAATAATATTATAATAGTAAAAAACAATTTAAATCAATACGTTTAATTAAATATTAAATTTTCCACACAAAATATATACTAGTTTTAAATTATAATCATAATAAGTGTAACTTTTTCTACTTAAAAATTAGAAACAAAAAAAATTCAATGTTT